GGCATCTATTGCACGTCTGTCCGTCCTGGGAGAGGGACTCCCTCCTCTGTTGCTCCTCCCTGTAGGTTTCCTCCCACTTTTACCCCCTTTAAACTGGTTGGGTTTTCCTCCGGTAAGTTTTTCCTTGTACGATGTGGAGGGTCTAAGGACAGAGGGTGTCGTTTTCTCCTACTGATATTCTGCAAAAACTGTGCTGTTGTATTTGCTGTATAGTATCCTTACTGTAAGGTAGGGGTGTAACGGTTCACAAACATTTTGGTTCGGTACGTACCTCGGTTTTTAGGTCACGGTTCGGTACGGTACGTTTTCGGTACAGCAGAAAAAATAATCACAAAACATATATATATTTTTTTATTATTATTAAACTGTGAATAATGTATTCACTCAAATAAATACAAAATATAGTAAAATAAACATTAAGGTGACAGCATTTCGATGAACTGAAATAATCTGTATTTTAACTTTACTGTACTAGTACTCACAAAACATAAACTATTAGTTTTGGGTTTTTAATTATTATTAAACTGTGAATATTTACCTCAAATAAATACAAAATATAATAAAATAAACATTAAGGAGCAGCATTTCGATGAACTGAAATAATCTGTATTTGAACTGTACTGTACTAGTACCTAAGCAGCCAATTTGACATTATGACTTGCTTGTCATTGTATTTTCATGTTTTTTTAAAGAAAGATGAACTTGTCCACATTGCTTGCCGAAAGGGCAGATCTGCTGGCACTAACAATGTCTCCTGCTGTGGAGAACACCCTCTCGCTAGGGACAGAGGTAGCAGATACAGCCAGGTAGCGCTTTGCTAATATGGCAACATAAGGATATTTGGCGTTTGTAATAGCTTTGGCTCGGTCTGAACTTTTTGCGAGTGGTGGAGGCTTAAATGCTAGCGGGAGTTGGGTTTGCACTTCAGTCTTTTTTCTTTTGGTACCGGTGATATTCACGTTTCGGTGATGCCTTTTCAAATGAGTGTGCAAGTTTGATGTATTGCCAGCCGCGTAACCAAATTTAGTTGAACAATGCCGACAAACAGCTTTGGTTCGGTCCACCTGTCTTTGTCCGTCATCCTTGTACGTAACTGCGAAACCAAAATGTTCCCAAACCGGAGACTTCAATGATGCTGGAGGATTTTCGAGCTCAACTTTATCTGCGTTCGCCATTTCGACAGTTCCTCAAATTACTGACTAAATTTGAACGCATCCCTCTGACCAGCTCTCACAGTATGCCTCTCGTCCAATGAAATGACTTGCTATATGACGCGTTGAACACAATGTGAGCAAATTACTCTGAATGCTGCGACGCAGCACCTGAGATTACTTCCAAAAAGTTGTTCACGTTCTCAATTTTTTACGTTTAACGTTATATTCGTTCGGTACACACGTGTACCGAACCGAAGGGCCCGTTCCGAATAATTTCGGTACATGTACCGTTACACCCCTAATTTAAAGTGAACAATTTTTTACTTATATCTGGTTTGTAGCTCAAATCCTTCAAAGTTTTGAAGCACGGTACGTAGAAAGCAGCAAAATAAAAATTAAAGGGTATAAAAAGGAGCATTTACCACCGGTAGAAACTGGCAGCATCTCTTCCGGAGGTTTGGCCTCTTTCTTTGGTGCAGACAGCTGTTCCTCCAGACTCTTCAGATTGTCTTTGTCTTTCAGCAGGGTCCCTGGCTTCAGGTCGTTGATGTCCAAAGACAAGTTCTTACACAGAACTTCAATCTCAAACTTCAGGTTCAGCTGCAGTGAACAAGAGGACAATGTGAGAAATTGTTTTTGTATCTGCTTACTCATACAGGTTAGGTCTGTATGGAATAACCTTTTTTTTAACATTCAAAGCATCTATGACTTCTATTTTTGTGATGACTGAATCCATTTTTATGTTTCACTTTTTAACAACACAAACTGATTTCCAAGAGCTGCCAGTTAGTTTGCTACATAGGAAGAATAATTGATTACCTTGAGGTCATGTTCTTGATGCAGCTCTGCAAGAACATTCATGATGGCCATGGTCCAGGGGTTCTGGGGCCTGAAGATCTATAATGCCAGACACACATTTAATACATTTGCTATGAAGAAACCACAGAAAACACATTGACAGCCGGTGAGCTAAAGCCAATTTCATTAACTGTGTTAGAAGAATTCTGCATTCTTTTTGAAAGTAAATATGACTTCATGACACTACTGGGCAGAGGTATAAGGAAATGTCATTGACACACTAATCAGTCTACACCTATTTTACTCACCATGCTTCGCAGACTGGACTCCAAAACTTTGGCCACAAATGGAACCACATAAAGGAGCTCCTGCTGGCCTTTCACATATGCTTCCAGTAGCAGAGACTTCACCTCCAAATCCTGGGGAAAACGACAGCAGATTTTAGCCTTAAAGAGACCCACAAGAAAATTAAACAACACAACCTAAGAATTGTTTCAAATTCTTACTGTGTATAGGATAGGCTTGTTTTTGGCCAGTGTGATCATGCCCAACCAGTGGCCCAGGTTCTTCAGCAGCGAGCGATCAGAGAAGTTGGCAGCTGCCTTGTCAGATGTCAACAGAACCTGAGAGAATTGAAAAATGACAGACGAGTGTCAGTATTTTAGTTATTCCACTGTGGCAAGTAGGAAGAAACAAATGCAACTGGCAAGGTGATGTAATGTCTGTAAACTTGACATGCAGCTGTTTAATATGGAAGACTCAAGTGTAAAATGGCCAAAAATAATTTATACATTCTTCTGTTATCCCCACATTGTTTACCTTGATGTTTCTGTAGGTCTCATTGAGGACCATCTTGACAAACTCCGGGTTCTTGAGAGTGTCCAGGAAGTTGGAGTAGAGGCCGTGGAAGTTGGGCTCGATGCTGACACGCTTCATCACCAGGTACTGAGACACCCAGGGCATAAACTCATCCTTCACAGTCTCCTTCAACTCTTCAACCTGGAGAAGAAAGCAAATATAGTTTAAAAAAGAAGTTTCTTTGACCATAATGATGTTTGTGACTTAGGACTTTTCAAAGATTGATTTAAGACATTTTAATCTCATTAAGGCCTCATTGTAGATTAATTCACTGCCTTTTAAAACTAAGAACTAAGTCTTCAATTACAGTTCTCTTTTGTACGTTTTACTTTACCTTTTGTGTCATGTTGGACTGAGAGAGGTTGTTGAATATGAACGCAATCTTCTCCTGGACATTCTCGGGAGGCTCTCCAATCCGTTCTGTTTGGTCGGTGGCCACCAGCAGGGTGTCAATGTTGGTTGTGTTTATAGAGGGCTGCAGGAAGGAAAACAAACTATTACCTTTGAAACTAGATCATCTACTGTTTCAAATTCTTTAATGGAGTCAAAAAAACATCAAATAAAAGCATTGACAAGGCACATATTAGGGTGTCTTGGGATCAACCAAGCCAAACTCACTGGCACATCCTTCTTGAAGGTGCTGGGTGTGGGTCTTGTGATGGTCGGGGTCTTGGCTACAGTGGTTGTAGTGGTGGTGGTGGTGACCAGAGTGCTGGGCTGGCCTGGCTGTGGAGCTTTTGGGACCCCGGGTTGCTGCGACTGGACCTGTGCCAGTGCCAGACTTCCAGGCGTGGTGATGGAGCCCTGCATCTTCACCGGAGGGTCCCGTGACTGTTGCCCATACTCGATATACTGCACGCACAGGATATCGGAAGAAGCAGAGCGAGAGATTTAATTTATCTGTATGGGTAAGTCCCGTCCTACAGACACAGTTGGGACTAGATAAGACTTGGAGCAAAGATAAATTAAGGAAACCTGATTACCTCTTGTAAATGGTGGGGGAATTGCAAGAAGTGGGCAATTGAAGCCAGATGTTGACAATATTGAGGATAGTCCTTTAGTCTAGAAGTATAAAAGATAGAAGTGAGCTTAAGACAAGATGACTGACGTTACATTAATATTTCTTTCACAAAAGAAACCATCACAATACCTGTTTTTAAACCTATCTAGGGCGGCAATTCCAAAGTAATACATTTTGGATCCAAAGGGTTTTCTTAAGGCTTCAAGAACATATCGGAGGGCCAAGCCCAGGGCCATGTAGGTGACAAGACCCTTCTCGATAATGCCACCAAAAAGGCAGGCAGTGATGTGCAGCTCCTTGTCTGGGTACTGGGGGAAGAATCTGTACTCCTCAAACAAGTTCCGAAGCATGCAGTTGAACACCTCTCGCTCCCTCTTGATGGTTGAATCCTTGAACCTCTGCAGCATTTCCAGTACCTAAGAGTACCAATGATGCTTGGGTTAATTCAAAGAGCAACATTTCTGAGAATAGTTGAATCAACTTCTGCCAATAACTGCAGAGACGAATGAAAAAAAGCAATACATACTTCATCCACGGACATAGTTGGATGAGGTGGGTGGTTGTAGATGCGCTGGAAGTAACTGTTTGCTTCGTCGTCAATCTCCTTACTAAAGTGCTGGTTCGCCTCGGGCCAAACCTGAGAAAGGTCAGCTGGGATAAAGAGCAGGAAAAATACATTTTTAACCAAGCCTGTTATTTACTTGAATGTGGTAATCAAACACTATTGTTGCAATCACATAAGGAATCTAATACTATTCTTACTGATAATTTAAAGTCAAACCTCTGTCTGATGCTTGAAAATTATATTAAAGTGGGGCTGTCGGCTATCAGACAAGGAACAGAAGACTGATTTGCATGACCAAAACAATTTATAAATTGTTTACAAGAGCTTAAACACTGCAGGAATCCTTAAAAAGCTCTTGGTGAATACTAGTGAACCTTGCCTTTTAACTGCATGTGTGAGGCACCCTGGCTTAGATGCATCAGAATTAAAACATGCAAATCAACACTGCAAAGGAAACAGTGCTACACTCTCAGTCACACTACTGCCACTACTTGCGGGCTTTTATCTTACTCTGCTGAAAGGTTGGTGGGTTCAGGCCTGGTGTGCTCATCTTCCTGGTGCCAAATGGGTCGGTGTTCACAGTCGGCATCCCCAGACTAGAGCCAATACTGGAGCCAATGCCTGTGCCCAGGGGACCTGAAAGTAACATAAGATCAGTCATTTCAATCCATACCGACGTCATCCCATGTGTTAACCTTTACAACATGCTTTTCAAGTGTTTTCTTGTCTGAAGTTCAGGATCAAACCCAAGCTATGCCTTAGTTTGCTCAGGCTATAGTGAATTTCAATGGAGTCTGACTTTAGACATGTACATGTGCTGTGGATGTTTATAAATGAACACATTTAAAAAAGGGCATATTACCAGAGTCCATGCTAGGAAGCTGCGAGGACAGGCTCCCAATGCTCCCAATGCCCCCAAATGGTGTACTGGGGTTGGGGTTGGTGAGGGGGGGGAAGGCTTTAGCCGGGGACTGGGGATTACTGAAAGCTGAGCTCAGTGAGGTTGGGAAGCCCTGCATGCTCTGAGTGTGGGAGGTGGCTGTGCCCCCCAGATTCAGGGACCCCATGCCGGAGAGAGAGTCCATCTAGAAAAAGAAAGACATTAATTATTATTTTAGATTTATTCAGATCCGTTTTGTCAACAATAATTTCCAATATGAAAAAGCATTACAAAGTGTTGCATTATAGCACTGTCATGTGAATGTACCTGTACAGGGGAGATGGCATCCAGGCTGCTGGTGCTGGGGGCCCGTCCCTTTGGCATCACCCCCGGTGGAGGTTGCCGGGCTTTATTCATTACATTGCTGCAGTTGGCAACCATGGTTAGGATAGTTTCTGACAGCTCCTGGGACACGCTCCTGAGGAAAAATGTGAACAAATATCGACATAATTAGATAATATTGTGATTGGTGTCTATAAAACAGTGTTTTCATATGTTTTGTTGACGTTGAAATGCCATTGAGTGAGACAAAACATTATTAAACCAAAAATCAAACAGTTTTCTTAAAAGGCAGACAGTGATAGAGCTAAGCCTAATGTCTCCTCACCCCGCACAGGACTGCAGGCAGGCCAGCATGGTGGCTAAGGTCTCAGGGGGCAGCTGGGCGCTTTTGGGCTGGTCCTTGTCTGGTGCCAGACCCCCCATAATGGATGGGCAGCGCCTCTTCAGGAATGTCACACATGCCTGGATAAAAGGTTCCTGACAAAACACACAAAAGGATTGTAAAACACAAAGACAAACAAGAACCCCAACAATCTTTATTGTTACATTTTAAAACAACTCTACTTTAATCAATTTGAAGACTTACCCCGTGCTCTCGGATTTTGTCAGTCAGCCATTTATCAAGTTTGAGGTATTCACGACGAGAAGCAAGTGCAGCAAGGTCAATAACAAAAGCAAATGGAGTACCATTCAGCAACATCGACAGAGACTGAGAGGGGCATAAAAAACAAAAACACTGCCTTATTTACCATGAAGAATATACCTACGACAAGCACAGAAAACATGGCCTGTATCCTTTAATGTCTTATTTTAATGTTGTGTTAAAACTGTGGGGGAAAAAAACATACGGAGGAACATTATTGAATGAAAGAGTCATTATTCTGCTATTGCTTAAAGGCTAATTTAAGAGAAGTCAAAGTCGGTGATCATTTAGTATTTCCTGACAAACCTTCAAGTCCTGGGCCACATCAAGGATGCGTGACAGCTTGGCCTGGTCATACTGCTCCCCCCTCATGTACCACTCTGCCATTGAATGCATAATAAGCTGACGGATAGAGGGAGACTGTCCCTGGAAAAAGAACGCCAGGTTTTATGAGTATACATAAATCAGGAAAACAAATAACCAGGAGAGTAAGCAGAGGACCAAAGCATGACCTTGTGACTTGAGATCAGAGAGCTGTATCACCAACCTGTCCGTGCCAGGCGTAGTGCAGGATGATGGCAGAGTTAGGGTGGTTGCCCAGGAAGATAGGCATCAGGGTGGAGATGAGCTCATGGCGCAGTGTGTGCCAGGAAGTGGAGATCTGCAGCAATGCCAGCACCAACATGTCTGGGCAGTGCTTGATGGGAAAGCTGAACAGCTGCTTCACCTGCTCGTACTGGCCCACCTCCGACAGCCTCAGCAGGCTCTCCACCAGGTCCAGACTTTTCCTGTAATGAGATGAGCAGAAAATCAGTCGAAAACACTAGATCACATTAGCCGCTTTCACACCAAGCACTTAGTCCCCAGCACTTAGTTCCCCGCACTTAGTTCCCCCATGGAACTAAAGAGCAGATCACGTTCACACCGGAATAAGTTCCCTGGGGATGGATTACGCAAATGAAGCCACTGTCGTCACTTCTTCTTCTTCGGGTTTACTGGAGGCCGCAAACCACTTCACTGCATATACTGCCACCCGAAGTCCACGGCCGGAAGTCCCCGGAGTTGGGGGCTGACTTCACCAGTAGAAGCCTTGCGAAGTAAACGCCAGAATGCCAACCTCCTCATCACTCCACGCTCCCATGTTTTTTTTGGTGTAGTCATTAAGTTAGTCTCTCTCCGTTGGTGCGGTAGGATTTAAGGCTAATATATGTAATGGCCAGCAAAACAAAAATGGCAGGCTTCACAAACTTTTCAGAAGGTTTGTTACGGGTCGGTGGTTTGCAATTCGGGGCCCAGCCAATCAGAATTGAGCGTTTTCTCCGCAGGAATACACTGCTCTCTGCGAGGGACTGAAAAGGGGGAGANTATTAAACTGTGAATATTCACTCAAATAAATACAAAATATAATAAAATAAACATTAAGGTGCAGCATTTCGATGAACTGAAATAATCTGTATTTGAACTCAGTTCAAATACAGATTATTTCAGTTCATCGAAATGCTGCACCTTAATGTTTATTTTATTATATTTTGTATTTATTTGAGTGAATATTCACAGTTTAATAATAATTAAAAACCCAAAACTAATAATTTGTTTTGTTAGTACTAGTACAGTAACGTTCAAATACAGTTTATTTCAGTTCATCGAAATGCTGCACCTTAATGTTTATTATATTTTGAATTTATTTGAGTGAATACATTATTCACAGTTTAATAATAATAAAAAAATATATATATGTTTTGTGATTATTTTTTCTGCTGTACCGAAAACGTACCGTACCGAACCGTGACCTAAAAACCGAGGTACGTACCGAACCAAAATGTTTGTGAACCGTTACACCCCTACTTTAAATGTATCGTCCTTCCCTCTACACCAGTAATGACCTGCCCTCTTCAATGATTAAACGAGACATTATGGTCCCTAGTTCTTTCAGTTCAGCTACAAATGATTGAACTGGTATTAATACCACCTTTGTCCAATCTAATGCCGTTTTTTTAATATTGAACATTTCTTATGCTGTATGAAGTAATTTTAAGAAAAGATGTTGGACTGAAATGCTTTATTACTTGTTCTTGTTGCTAATTTTTTTTCTTTCTCTTTAGGTTTTCTGGACTTTAATCAAATGCCTGTTTTGCGACCAACAGGGGACTTTGTTCCTTTCGCCGCCCCCCCCTCAACTCCAGCTGTCACTACCACCCCTTGCACAACCACCGGCCCCCCCACCCCTCAGTTTAGTTACCACGACATCAATGTGTATGCCTTGGCAGGCCTGGCTCCACACATCAATATAAATGTCAACGTAAGTGATGGGTGCCTGCAGACCACCGACTGAGACGTTTCTCTCTCTTGTTGCTTTTATCCTTTCAATCATTTTCTCCTTTCTTGACTGTTTTATCTCGTGTTCCCTCTTTAGATCTCGCTGCTGCAGGCCCATCCCCAGCTGAAGCAGTGTGTACGGCAGTCGGTGGAGCGTGCTGTTCAGGAGCTGGTGCATCCGGTGGTTGACCGCTCTATCAAAATAGCCATGACGACCTGTGAGCAGATCATCCGGAAGGACTTTGCTTTGGATTCGGAGGAGTCCCGCATGCGTGTGGCTGCCCACCATATGATGAGGAACCTGACTGCTGGCATGGCCATGATCACCTGCCGCGAGCCTCTGCTCATGAGCATCGCCACCAACCTTAAGAACAGCTTTGCTGCTGCGTTAAGGGTGAGCTGAATTTCCTTAAATACTAATATTCCCTTGTGCACCAAGAGAAGTAATCATAGCAAGATTTCTCACCTTTTCACTTTCACTATTCCTGCTTTTTCAACTTTAATGATGTGTTCTTTCAGGCTCCAACCCCACAACAGAGGGAAATGATGGAAGAGGCTGCAGCCAGGATTGCTCAAGACAACTGTGAATTAGCATGCTGCTTCATTCAGAAAACAGCTGTGGAGAAGGCTGGCCCTGAAATGGACAAGAGACTAGCCACGGTGAGGCTTTAAGCACATTACCTCAACACTCGTAAATATACATTTATTTCTAGTGCACGAACAATGGCAAAAGTGTCCAATGCCTAACTGTTCCTTTGAACTCTTCTAGGAGTTTGAGCTGAGGAAGCATGCACGCCAAGAAGGACGGCGGTACTGTGATCCTGTTGTTCTGACGTACCAGGCTGAACGCATGCCAGAACAGATCAGACTCAAGGTAATATCACTGTAACATCGAGACATGCAGTATATCAAAATATAATATGATGTTACCTCAGGTTATAGATCTTTCAAACAAACACAGACACAAATTGTAACAAAAAGCATTTTTTGTGTTTTAGGTAGGAGGCGTGGACCCGAAGCAGCTGGCAGTGTATGAGGAGTTTGCCAGGAACGTTCCAGGTTTCTTACCCAGTAATGATCTCTCCCAACCCACTGGCTTCTTGGCTCAGCCCATGAAGGTGAGGTTAATTTCTGAGATCACCAAAAGAAAACGTAAGAACTAAAAAGACTAGGGAAACCGGGGTTTAAAGTAGAGATTCATGGCGCTTTCCCACTGCAGGGCCTCGCTCGGCTTAGTACGGTATGGCTAGGCCTCGTTAGACCAGGCTCACTTTATGCTGCGTTTCCATTGCAGTTTAGGAACTGGGGTAGTAACTATAGTAACGCAGTGTAGGCGGAGCCGTGACGTCATCTTCAATGTGAAACACAAAACCAACACAACCAACATCAGCCGTTAGCTGTTAGCCCTCAGAGCTCACAGCTCTTCATATCTGTTCAGAAACTAGACAAAAGTTAAACAAGTACAAACCACATACTGTCTGTGTCATGGCGAATACAGTTGCTGGTTTATTTATGTCTGTATAGGCCGTTGTTGTGAGTGTGGACGGTCGGAGCATATACAGCGTTAGCTTAGCCGATCTCCATTTAGAAAACACGCATCTTAAAAGGTTTTCCGCCTGCCGTCTGTCTGCAGACTTGTCAAAGCATTAATTCATGGTTTTTACTAACCGGTATCAGTATGTTNTTGCGTAGTTATTTAATGCAAACCACAATCTTTTCCTTCAAACATAATGATATGACATGGATTAAAGGTGCCATGTCATGCTTTTCCGGTTATTACCAGTCCCCTTGTGTGTTATGAAGGTTTTTCTGCATGTAAACGGTCTGCAGAGTCAAAAACCCTCAGAGTACACCCTGTAGGGAGTAAAACTCTAACGCAGAAAAGACCTGTCTATGCTGCCCCAGAGCGCCTCGTTGGAAATTTCTCATTTTCCATTGTTTACTTCCTGGGTACTCTGACGTGGGAATACCAAGAGGCCACACCCTCTGCCAGCCTTTCACGAAACAAAGCTTCCCACACCTTTCAGCGATTCATGCCGGATATGTACAGCGTAGGGCACTGAAGAACGATGCTGTTCCTACTTTGTTTGGACCAGCGGGAGATTCGGGTACACAACCTGTAAGTATTCATTGTTGTTTGTGTATTTATGATGTCTAAAAGAAACAAGGTATCTACCACGACTGTTTGAACGGGTAAACGTTTTTCGGGCTACTAAGTTGGGATCACGGAGAAATCCTCTCCGCAGACCCATGCTCACAGCGTTAAGCCTTTTTCTTACTCAATATCAAGCCACACTTATTGTTTTTACTTCGGCTGTCAATGTTTGTGTGTGCTCAGAATGAGTTTTGCTTGTTCTCTTGTATCGCCGAGACCGTAAGCCTGTCTGCTCCTGCAGCAGCTCACACAGCTGCGAGCAGCAACGAGCTTCTCAGCCAATCAGAGCACAGTGGGCTCACAGGGAGGGGGGGCAGGAGCTCCAACAAGCCGTTTAGGACAGAGAGTGAATACACATACTATACAGAGATGCTGTATGAGAAACCAATGTGAGTTTGGAACATTGAACAATATAAATCTATTTTAGTAGACCTCAACAATGGAATTATGATCAGTAGAAATGGCCATGACATGGGACCTTTAACAAGACTACATGTAAGGTATAATAAGTATGTACAAATTGAGATGGTCTTATTCTTGCTTACCTTCTGCTGCGGTGTGTGCGCTAGCATCCTGGCGATGAAGATGCGGTGGGAGATGAGTTCCAGCCAGGCGTACACAAAGCCGGGCGCTTTGGTTGGTCTCAGGATGTGGAAGGTATTGCTACAGGTAAAAAAAGACAAAAACATTTTAATTTTGAGCACAATTTTTGCACTAGCCAAGCTTTTTCTATTCCAACACTGAACACAGGTGGCATGCTCATATCCATGCAGATGTCTTACCAGAAGGCCGTGAGTGTCTGAAAGTTGATGGTCTCCAGAACATGCTCTGGAGCGTTGAGCTCCAACAACAGCATGATGAAAATGCGGTGGTACGGCAGCTGCTGGAATTCTGTCTGACGGACATCATGGTCCTGAATCAGGACCCCGACTACGATACCCAGCACCTGAAATAACGTAGAGCAAAATCAGAATTAGGTGAACTGGCCTGTTCAACCCGACGGCTGTTTGTGCAGAAGACGTGTTTTTTGTTGCTGTACCTTGTTGAGGAGGTTGATCTTGGTCACTGTGTTGGTGGCCTCTCCGGAGTGTTTGACCAGCAGGGCGATGAGCCTTACGAAGGCGTCCAGGTTGTGGTAACACTTCGCTCTGATGATGGCTGCGCTGGCTGCTGGGTTGTGCTGCTGCTCAGCCTGTGCCCGGTAACTTATCTCCACGCACATTTCTGTGCAAAGCCGGAAGAACCTTGTGATCAGGTCATCAGTCTTCAGGATGCCCTGCTGGTGCATCTGGAAGAAAGAAAAAGGAGATCAAAATGAGGAAAAAAGGGGCACTGCGACTTCTGATCACTTGCACAACCGATAATGGTATTTACCTGTCCAACAAAAGCAGAGAAAGCTTTGGTGCTGTCCCTGCCAGCAGCCGCTGAGTGGTACAGGTTGACCCACTCCCTCAGGAGGTACTCGGCCTTCTCCCTCAGGCCCGGAGGGTCGTCATACTCTGAAGCCTGGGAGATCCCAGAGTGCATCATGAAGTTCGGTCCTCCGTGGGCCCGGTCAATCATGGCCTCGTAGTTGGAGCGAACTACATCCATCAGCTGGGGAAGGCTGGAGGGGCAAAAAGAGATAGTCAGTTTTAACCCATCTCATAGCAAGATTAAATTAGTCATTTCATTTTAAAAATGTGTTAAAGATTAACATTGATTTCTAGGTGGAGTATTAAATACTTCCAAATGCCAAATTAAAAACTTGAAGTAATTCAACACAATGGACACTTGTGGTATTTATCAATGTGAATTAAGGCATACATTTGTTTTAATGTAAAGCAATAACATGTTGGTTGTCAAAGCACCACAATCTCTCGACATAACCACCTAATTAACATATATTTTTGTATTTATCATTATATGGGCTTACCCCTCAGGTGCGTTGGCTCTGGAGTGTGCACAGGTCCTCATCAAAGTCTCAATTGTGTGGAAGAGGTCCGCCTCCGTCACATGGCTGACGCTGCGCTCATCTACCAGCAGCAGCTTCACCAACTGCATGGCAAACGCTACTGCCATGTAGTGCAGGCCGTTTTCCATCGACTAGAAGAAGATAAGGATCAACGTTAAGATGGTAATGGCACATGAAATTGTACTTGGCCAGATAAATATATTCACAAATCTATTGATCAAGGTCGAGAATGACAAGCCAAAAAAAACATGCTTTTGCACCAGAGATAAAACAATAAACACTTGACTAGATCCAAATAGGAATAATTGACACCACATCAAATTATAAGTACAATAGTAAATGACAGATATGTACCTGTGCCAGGTGCAGGTCGTACTGCTGCATATTCACAAGATGGTTCCTGATCAAAAGCTCCACCGCCTCCACGTTGTATTTGTACTCATCGCGGCATTCAATCAGACATCTGTAAACAAACACGGTAATTCAACACACCAGGGGAAATTATTAACAAATATCCTGAAGTTACACAGAACACGTTCAATCACTTAAATCTATTTTTTTCCAGATTTAAAACAATTGACCCTGGCTAAACAAGATTGTATGATCCGAGAAGATAAACTCAGCTTCAATCAGACGTGTTCTGACTCACCTGGTGATCTGCTTATTGCACCACTGTGGTCCATAGGCACGTCCGTCCTGCAGGGCTTTGAGCACCAGCAGGTGGCACTCTCTGTAGCGGAGCAGCAAGTCTGCATCAGCTCCACTGGTAGCATCCAGGAGACCCTCAACAGCCTTGAAGTTAGACAAGCAATAGTATGCATTAATTAATCTTCTACATTGCCTCCCTCACACCATTTCTGAAGACTAAATGTGAAAGTGTCCTACCTTCTGCAGAAGGCCGAGTGCAGCGATGCCATCCCTGGAGTTTCTGGCCAGGGCCACAGCCTCCAGCAGGCTGCGCAGAGCCTGGGTCAGGGGGTTCATGGCGAGGGCCGGAGGGATGGCATGAAGGTGTTGCTCCAAGTCTGCCATGCACTTGTCGTAGATCTGAGCTACATCATCCGTGGCCCACGCTTGTTGCTGTTAACGGAAATACACAGAATTAAGTCCTGCAGGTTTAAAACAGCAACACCAATCTGTGGCACCATGTTGCTGATATGAACACATGGACATGCGCTGGCAGCACTCCTCAGTTTTATTAACTTTTATAAAATCAGAAATGACAGGGTAAAGCAAAGCCAATAAAAGGTTAAGATGGGCCAAAAACACTCAATCAGTGTATATGCAGGAATCCTGAAGTCAAATCTAAGACCTTTTTTAAGACCCTTTCCACACATTTTAAGACCTCATCGCCGGTATATGTGATGTATTTGATTCACACATCTAAATGGCGCATTTCCACTACAGCGTGGAGCACGGTTTAAGCATGCCGTGCCCGGCTCGTTTTTGATTGCGTTTCCACTAGGCGTAGTTCCGGCTAGCGGGTATTTTTTCACAGTTTTTCTGGCACTCCAAAATCGAGGTTCTTTCCGGGCCAACAACCGGGCTGAGTATGCTAAACTAGTGTCAGAATCGCTGGCAACTACAACAAAATGAACATATTTGACCGTGATTTAATTGTAATACACATTTCAAAATGATGCCGAAGTAACAACATACTGATACCGGTTAGTAAAAACCATGAATTAATGCTTTGACAAGTCTGCAGACAGACGGCAGGCGGAAAACCTTNACAGAAAAGACCTGTCCAAAACGCCTCGTTGGAGATTTCTCATTTTCCAAAGGGTGTGGCCTCTGGGTATTCCCACGTCAGAGTACCCAGGAAGAAAACATTGGAAAATGAGAAATCTCCAACGAGGCGTTTTGGACAGGTCTTTTCTGTGTTAGAGTTTCTCGCTACAGGGTGTACTTGGAGCGTGTTTGAATCTGCAGACCGTTTACATGCATAAAAACCTTCATACACAAGGGGACGGGTAATAACCGGAAAAGCATGAAATGGGACCTTTAACACATAACTGTTGCTTTGTTCTACATTTGTTACAATGTTGTGTTTTTTGTAATGTTTCTCTAATAAACTGATTCTTCTCACAGGGATGGCCCATGTACGCACAGCTGCTGATTGATCTCTTCAAGTACCTGGCCCCCTTCCTGAGGAATGTAGAGCTCAACAAACCTATGCAAATCCTCTACAAGGTGCGTCTCAGTTGTCGTACATTAACTTGCAGAAAGTACTGCCATGTTTGATAACAGGGAAACTTGTGGTTATATCTGCGTTTGTGTATCATGACTCTGTCTGATGGCGTGCTGTTTTGGAGCATGACTTGGTAATTATGTGGCTATAGACTTATGTGTCTAATGTGTACATTTTTTAAATACAACAGCTGAACTTAATCTCTTCTCTCCCCCTGTCGGCTGTTTCAGGGCACACTGCGAGTGCTACTGGTCCTGCTGCACGACTTCCCAGAGTTCCTCTGTGACTACCATTATGGTTTCTGTGATGTTATCCCACCCAACTGCATCCAGCTCCGCAACCTCATCCTCAGTGCCTTCCCACGCAACATGAGGCTCCCAGACCCTTTCACACCCAACCTCAAGGTATACACACACACAATTTAAGATAATCTGTTAATTACACGTGCCCTGGTGTTTCTAAGTGTGTTCTAGATCGGCAGAACCTCTTCAGCCTTGTTTGAACTTGTTAAGGTTGTTAGCTGTTCTCATAAATCTGTGTCTTTATTAACACCCTGGCTGCAGGTGGACATGCTGAGTGAGATCAACATCGCGCCCCGTATCCTCACCAACTTCACAGGCGTTATGCCTTCCCAGTTCAAGAAGGACCTGGACTCGTACCTGAAGACTCGGTCACCAGTCACCTTCTTGTCTGAGCTGCGCAGCAACCTGCAGGTAGGACCAGTGCAGACTGATTGTATTTAGTTAATCATGGTCTTAAAAAGGGCAATATCATTTTCTTTATTGACCTTCTTTTGTCTCCCAGGTGTCTAACGAGCCAGGAAACCGCTACAACATCCAGCTGATCAACGCGCTGGTGTTATATGTGGGCACACAGGCTATCGCTCACATCCACAACAAGGGCAGCACCCCCTCCATGAGCACCATCACCCACTCTGCACACATGGACATCTTCCAGAACCTGGCCGTGGACCTGGACACTGAGGGTAAGGTGGCAGTGCACAAACCAGTTTCTGTCCAATGGTAGATAAGAGCTAGGTGAATCAAAGCTTTTTACTCATCAGGTTTCTGCTGTCATGTGTTTTTCAGGGCGTTACCTGTTCCTGAACGCGATCGCCAATCAGCTGCGTTACCCAAACAGCCACACCCACTACTTCAGCTGCACCATGCTCTACCTGTTCGCGGAGGCCAACACCGAGGCCATCCAGGAGCAGATCACCAGGTAAAACAATCTCAATATATAAAGTAGGCCATGAATGAGTCCTACTTCCTAGAAAAGAGTTAGCTTTTTACCACTTCTAGTTACCTAGTCTGGAAGCCCTATTGTAGAGATAAGGTCTGGTTAACGCAAGCTTAAGAAATGTTTTCTTATTGTTCTACATCATACAAATATGCCTGTATTAGTAATTATTTGAGAAGAAGGAATACATCGAGTCATCCCAAGGGAATCCTACTCCTAAATGTGCAGTAGGTTCATGCTTTGTCCCTCTCTGCCAGGGTTCTGTTGGAGAGGCTGATAGTGAACAGGCCTCACCCATGGGGGCTCCTCATCACCTTCATCGAGCTGATCAAGAACCCTGCCTTCAAGTTCTGGAGCCACGACTTTGTGCACTGTGCCCCCGAGATTGAAAAGTAGGTTACCTTTTTAGACTGGTTGTTCTAGGACATGGTTGTGTTGCTCTTTGAGAGACGTTAACATTCATCTTCTCTCCTCAGGCTGTTCCAGTCAGTAGCCCAGTGCTGCATGGGACAGAAGCAAGCCCAGCAGGTGATGGAGGGCACCGGTGCCAGCTAGCCTGTGCACCTGCCCGCTCGCAGCCCATGGGAGAGATGCCGCGGCCTTGACCCACTCACCCACCACACACACCTCTCTCTTCACTGTCGGCACTGGATAAACTGGCAACCACAGTCATTTCAAATGTGGATGACTACTGCTCACGGATCTAAAGAGCTAGATTTTTGTTAATCCCTTTGGGGCTGAATTGAGATGGAGAGAATGAATTGGGACATGCTGTTTAATATACTTTTTTGAAGCTTTGATGTAAATATTGGAAAAAAGGGAGTACGGGAGAGTAGATGTGTGGAGAGCAATGCACATGTCAAATAAAATGTATCCTGACATGTAAAGACATCCAAACATATTTTCACTCGCTACCAAAGTCCTTGGTTTGCTTCCCTCCCACATAAATCCTCTTTTTCCTGAATTTTTTTTGTGCTTTCAGAGGCTGAATGGTAGATTGAAGAAAATCGCTGCCTGATACTTTCATTTGATTCCTTTTTATCCCTGAGTGGGACAGGAAGACGAAGTTTAGTCCCCCGGTTGGGGTGGGGTGGGGTGGGGTTCTTCTCCCGGTGTGTCGGTGGAGACAGTTTGCTGGTGGTTTGTCCGTTTGAAACTGGCTCTGGAAGTCTCTCCCAGGCACTTGTATATTGTGCAAAGTGATGGCGACATCGTATCTTTACGATTTGTACAAAGATCCAAATTGAAGAACAACAATAGAAGGACCAATACAGCCCATTTTGTAACATTTTGAATGTTTTGTAAATGTATTGGTCCATGTGTTGTATTTTGTAGTCCTTTCTAGTTTGCCTTTAGTTCTTGCTACTTAACTGCAGTATGCATACATACAGGAAATAAAGCATTCAAACTGCAAAGCATCTGTGTTCATTCAGAGACTGCACTAGTAATGTGATGGTGCTAATATACCAGGTGTTTTAAAATAACTAATTTGATTACATATATATATATATATATAAAATCAAATATACCTTAGAACTGTACATTAATTAGTTTTAAGGTTTAAATGTGTTTACAAATGTGTGCACCTACTTTTGAAGCAGTGTACTTTTGTTTGTTTTTATTAGGAAAAGAAACCTTTTACTTTTATACATCCATACTATTAAGTGGCCATGTCTTGAAAGCATTAGAGAATACAAATATATTGCATATCAAAAGATGGATGGTTAAAAGAGCCACCATTTTAATGTTCAACTAGTATATGCATTGGTTATCTTTTAAGACACTCAACTTCTATATGGCATTATTTGAATGTTTGCTGTATGTCTGCATCAAGTTTAAATTTGCTTAAATGGGAAACGAATGAAATCATTTTGTAGGTATTGCAAAGCATGCATATATATAATGTTCTATGTGCAAAACATCTATATAATATACCCTAACAGTCAAACGTTTGGACACACCTTCAAATTCGAAGTTTTTTCTTTTTTTCTACTTTGTAGATTAATACTCAAGACGTCAAAACTATGAAAGAACACGTGGAATTATCTGGTTAAAAATGTTAAAAAATCCTGAATATTATTTTAATTTTAGATTCTTCAAAGTAGCCCTGTTTTGCCTTGACAGCTTTGCACTCTTGGCTTCTCTGTCAGCTTCATGAGGTCATCACCTGGAATGGTTTTCAATTAACACGTGTGCCTTTTCAAGAGTCAATGTGTGGAATGACTTGCCTTCTTAATGTGTTTGAGGCCATCAGTTGTGTTGTGCAGAGGTAGGGTTAGTGCACAGTGGAAAGCCCTATTTGACTACTGTTGTAATCCATATTGTGGCAAGAACCACTCAACTCAGTGAAGAGAAACGACCGTCCATCACTTTAAGAAATTAACGCCCGTCGATGCGGAAAATGTCAAGAACTTTGAATGTCTCCTCAAGTCCAGTCGCAAAAAACATTGAACGCTGATTAAGAAACTGGCTCTCATGAGGAAAGGAAGAGCAAGAGTTACCTCTGCTGCAGAGGATAAATACATCAGTTACCAGCCTCAGAAACTGCAAATGAAAACATAAATCATCACAGAGCTCAAGTAGCAGACATCCTCAACATGCACTGTTCAGAGGAGAGTGCATGAATCAGGCCTTCATGGTCCAACTGCTGCAAAGATCCACTACCGAGGATGAACAACAAGAAGAGAATTGTTTGGGCCTAGAAACACAAGGAATGGACATTAGACAGAGGAAATCTGTACTTTGGTCTGATGAGTCAAGATTTGAGATGGTTGGTTCCAACCACTGTGTCCTTGTGAGACGCAGAGAAGGTGAGAAGATGGTTTCTGCATGTGTGGTTCCCACCGTGAAGCATGGAGGAGGAAGTGTGATGGTGTGGGGGGGCTTTACTGGTGTTTTATTCCAAATTCAAGGCACAGTTAACCAGCATGGCTACCACAGCATTCTGCAGTGACCAAAATATAAAACATTCTGGATTTTTTAACACTAGATAACTCCATGTGTTCTTTTATAGTTTTGATGTCTTCAGTATATATTTACAATATAGAATTTGAAGATGTGTCCAAACTTTTGACTGGTACTGTACATAAGTGCACAAATCATTTGACATGTCTTAAAAAATTTTTTTTATTGACAGGGTATTTTAGGAGACATTTTGGTGTGTTTCTTGGTACCAAAAGAAATTCCTCATGTGGTCTCCTCACTGCTAGAGTCATGACTTAGTGAGCTCCATCAGTCTGTGCAGGATGCTCCTCTGTCCGCAGCACACGTGAAGGGCACGCTGCTGCCGGCTGCTCAGTCCCTCAGGTGCAGACCCTCCCCCCTCCCAGTCTCCGTAGGAACTCGCAGTCAGACGGGCGGCTTCATGAATTAGCCATTTCCACGAAGCATTTAATCCAGGGAGACCCTCGTAAGACAAAGCAAGGGAAATCTCCTCTTCCTCATCTTCCTCCCATCCTTCGTGGTCTTTGAACTCTGAGAACTCCTCCTCTGACATGCACAACACCTGAAGACACAAAAAGATTGTCCAATAAGCCGTTCCTCAAACTTTGTCAACAAAGTGCTTGTGTTTTTAGTTATGGTGTAAGCAAACTGCTCTGTTGCATGTCTCACCTTGAGCACAGAATGCAGCTCTGTGTCTGTAAGGCAGCCCTGCTTGCCAAACACAAAGGTTGCTTTCTCTTGCATCAACTCAAGCAGCATCTCCCACTTCTCCTCCACCAGCTGCCGGGCCAGATCAGACTGAACACCTGGGGAAAGATGAGGAGGGAGGGTTATCGTTTCCTCAACGCTTCTCTTGTGTGATATTGTAGTTTGCAAACTCTTAAAATACCTTGTGTTGCGACTTTGTAGAGGTTGATGATGGGAATGTCAACGTTGTCGTTGCTGTTGCTTTGATGTGGCTCCGTGAAGCCGTACATGTGCAGCAGCTGCCAGTTGGCCAGCTGCCCGTAGGTGTTAAACACCTCCTCGCCCTTATGAATGGGGCGAACGCAGACCATCTTCAAACTGTCCTGCGAAAAATTGAGAGTTCAGAACAATGTTAACGGGGCAGTTAATTCAAAGTTTCAATGTCAAATTCTAAACCAATACCCAGGTTTAATAAAAACACTTTGTGCACACATTTATTAAAAAAACGTCGATGGCCCCTCACCAGCGTAAACTCCAGAATAGCATTGTGATTAGACACATGGTTAAGCATGTCAGCCATTGGAACCATCATCAGTTGGTATGGGGTTTTCGTTTTCTCCACCTCCTCCTCCTCCTCGTCATCTTTATCATCATCATCCCTCCTTCCTGTGGCTCTTGGAAACTACAAAGAGGAGGAATGTTAAAGGGATCTCAGGGTTACATTTCAAATTTAGAAGGACAAAAAAAAGAAAGATCTGGATACTTTACGTACAAAAGTGTTTTTCGGCTTGTGCTCACTAACCTGTAGGCCATGACAAAGGCCACAAGCTGTGTGTAGAGCTCCAGTGTGTGTGTGCCGGGGTTCCAGAGGTCAGGGTGCTTTCTGATGAAGGGAAGAACCACGTTTGTGTATTCCCTCTGGATGTTCGCCAGGTCTGTCTCTACAGCCTCTGGAATACCCGTTCCCCTCAGTAGTCCGTCCCTCTCCTCTTTAGACCTGAACGGATGAACTTTGAATTACTGTAAAGATAACTAAAAATTAATATAACGTTTTTTATGCATGGTCCTTGTTTATCTAATAATATCAACTTTATAATGTAATGGTAGCTTCCTCAATTTAATTCATACCAAAAAAGTAAGATATTGTGGCAGCCTTGATCTTTACGATGGAGTTCAGGTAGAGATACAGTTGCAAGAAAAAGTATGTGAACCCTTTGGAACTACCTGGATTTCTGCATAAATTGGTCATAAAATGTGCTCTGATCTTCATCTAAGTCACAACTATAGACAAACACAGTCTGCTTAAGCTAAAACCACACAAACAATTATATGTTTTTATTGAACACACCATGTAAACATTCACAGTGCAGGGTGGACAAAGTATGTGAACCCTTGGATTTAATAACTGGTTGACCCTCCTTTGGCAGCAATAACCTCAA